GCCCTATCAACTCGCATGTCCGTCTTGGCAAAAGTTTTACGCCGGATGCCCTTCCTGACGCAACCCTCCCCATTTCTCCGGGCTTGGGACCGGCACCGGGGAACAGTGTACCCCCAGGGGAGGGCACTGCTCCCCAGCGGCTGGGTTTATATTAGCCTACTATCAAAATCTTTTTCCATTTTCAAACATTTTTTTATAAAGCTCCAGGGAGCCACTAGATGTTGCTAAAGAGCCGCATGCGGCTCTGGAGCATCGTGTTGCTGATCCCCGGTTTAGTCAGTAGTTAACTCTGCTTTTGGTATGATCTTCGTTTTATAATGGCTGCGCAGAGCTCACAAAGTTATTTGTTAGGTGCATTCACCAAGACACATTCAGTCGGGCAGAAAACCCTTTCAGGTTACAATTGGTTCCTGCTAGTAATCACCACTATATGGCCTAGGAACAGTAACAGAGAAACAATTTGTCAATCTCACGTGCTAAGGGCTCGTAGAGGAAGATAATCATCGTAATTTTGATTCACGACAACCACAGTATTGACATTTGATTTTTGTTTTGCTCCATCCAGGTTATGAAGGCACAAACTGTGAGATTGACACCGACGAGTGTGCTGAACATCCTTGTGACAATGATGGGGAATGTTTTGAACGTTCAAATCTGAGTCACTGGGAGCTTGATTGGGAACGAAGCTATGCAAATGCAGCTGGATATATTTGCCAGTGTCAGTCAGGGTTTGCAGGTAAGTGACACAATGAAAAATGATCACCAAAAATACATAACTCTCCTCTCTATGTAAACTTGTAAAAACCTGTACTGTATTGATTACAGGACAGAACTGTACCATTAACATTGATGAGTGTGACTCTGAACCCTGCCATAATGGAGGCACTTGTGCAGATCAAAAAAATGGTTATGTTTGTACCTGCCCTGCCGGGTTTTCAGGTAAGAGTTCGAACTGATTTGTACTATTCGTAACTTAAAATGATCCAACAAACACAATAAAAGTTTATTCTTACAGATATGAACGAATTCCCTAAACAACAGAAAATGAGTGCAGTGTATTTTGCTGCCTCGGCTACTCGTGTATTTCTTATTCAAATACAGTACATCTATTTGGTATTATGGATTCCTTTAATAGAGTACATCACGGCATTAAGAGTTTACCAAAAGGAACTTTAGTTTCAGCAGCGCTGCAGAAAAAAGCAACTATAGTCAGGCTAGGGTCTGAGGCATGCTGCAATTTTAGCAAAAAATAAAAATAAAAATAATTGACACCCTTAAAATATTTACGATTTTCCTGTATTAAGACTTCAATGTACTTCAATTTTCAACAAGATGGAGCACTGCCCCATTGGCATTTCGGGGTTCAAGCTTATCTGAACAAAAATGTGCCTCAGCAGTGGATTGGTAGCAGAGGTGCTAAAGATCTCGCTCTCTGCGTTTGGCCTGCCGGTCACTTATACCTCACTGTGTGTAGCTTTTTCTTTTAGTGGGATGGTCCACCCACTTCAAGCAAACATCAATGACATGAAAGATAGAATAACCGCTCGGTCACTTAGACCTCACTGTGTGTAGCTTTTTCTTTTAGGTGGGATGGTCCACCCACTTCTAGCAAACATCAATGACATGAAAGATAGAATAACCGCAAGATTCTGAGGCACGTTTCGGAAGAATTCTCAAATTGGCTTGGTGTTGTCTGTGCTGTCAATGGTGGCCACATTCAGCGCTTGAAAACACGAAATAAAAACTCGAGTGCCGCTTCTCCACAGAAGAATTCTCATTTCAAAAATTGTATTATTTTCATGGCATTTTGATTCATTTTAATGGAAAAAGATAATTTAAGATTTTTTTCTGCTTACGAGCTTGTTCAACCTTGTACCTCAAGGCACCACTGTAGTATGGAAAAAAAAAAAAGGATAAACCTACTTCCTTCACAATCCTCTTTGCTGATCTTAAACCGCTTAATTACACAACTACTACAACATGTACAGGGCCTATTGTTCATAATTGAAACAAAAATCCATGCCAATTGTATTTCAAATGATCTTCAATTACATTTCTGTTTACATCCTCCCTCAGGTTTTCTTTGTGAAATGAATATTGACGAATGTGAAAGCCAGCCCTGTCAGAATAATGGCTGGTGCGAAGACGACATTGCTTCCTACAACTGTCACTGTCCTGAGGTCAATGTTGGTTATTGGCCATGGGGAGGCAAGGACTGCAGTGTTAAGCTTTCGGGCTGTGTCCGCCATGAATGTCAAAATGGAGCCACCTGCTACCCGTGGTTTGATGGAGTTGAACATGGCCACACCTGTTTGTGCCCTCATGGCTTCATGGATGAGCAGTGCTCTACGCTAACAACATTCTCTTTCTCTTCCCCGCGGTTCATTTTTATTAACGTTTCTCAAGAGATGATCCAAACTGAGACCCAAAATAATGAATTTGCAATACAGTTCCGCTTCCGGACAACATTGTTTGATGTGTTACTCTTTTACAGAGGAGATGTTGACACCTATGTCCTGATCGAGATTGTGGATGGTTTCCTTCACACAAAAGCACTTTCTGATGGAGCTGAAGTGAATTTGACCTTTCCTGTCGTTGTTAATGACGGGTTTTGGAGAGATATTCATGTATTTGAGCATAACAAAGGCATTCGTTTGATAATGAAAGGACCTGGCTGTTACAGAGATAACTGCATAGCTGGAGATGAATCACCTTTCCATACATTGGAAACCCTCTCGCATATATATGTTGGTGGAGCATCTGAAGAAATGTTACTTAACTCCCTAAGTGAGGCAAACTTTATTGGATGCATGGAAGACTTAAAGATCGACACCCAACCGATCCTCCTTCAATCATTTCAAGAGAAGGAAGTACAAAATCATGGATGTCCCAAGACCGAATGGTGTAAGCCTGATCCCTGCTATGGGAATGGACATTGTATGGACCTGTGGACCAACTACCGCTGTGACTGCCAGCGTCCCTTCTATGGTGAAAGATGCACTGAAGGTGAGCAGTTTTTCCACTACTTTTTCAGAAAGACAACACTGTATCACACTAATTCTAAGAATTATATTTAGGGGTGCACATAACAAATTTGGTCTGCTCTTCAAAGCAGCACCAGCACCAGGTTCTGACCAAACCAAATGTTTTAGGATTTTATAGGTCTTATAAAAAGACATTCCATTTATAATACAACTGATGTTTGTCATGGAGTGCGTGATGATAGGGGACCAAAAAGCAAGAAGGCAGGAGAAGCAGGGTGCACTGAACAAAGTATATCAACAAAAACACAAGGGTGCACTGGAAAAACTAAATTGAAAGACCCAACATAGTCCTCAAAAAGCCCAAAATTCAAAGTAAGCACAAAACTGTTAGGGTTTGGATGTGACCACAATAGCACGACAACAGGCAGGTAGAGTTGAAGCCATCACTTGGAGTAGTTTATTAAGGAGTCTCAGCAAAGTCACTCAGGAAGCAGCACGAAGAAGCCACAGGGGAAAATGTCCACAGGAAACAAAACCCTCACTCAGGGAGAAAACTGGGACTTACTTCAACTCTCAGGGGGAAGCACACGGAGTCCACAAGGGAATGTCCACACATGGAACAAGAAACTGCATGTGATGCCAACAGAGCTCACTGAGGTGGTGACAGCACGAACTTGCACTGAGGAATGGTTTGAGAGCCAATATATACCAGTCCAATCGAGCAGATTGGCAACAGGTGGGTAATGAGCTGACGAGTATCAGGTGTGAGGTGCAGAGCACCCTGGCTGAGGAGACTGCATGGCTGGCCCCTCCCTAACAAAAACAACACTATGACAACCAAAAACCATGACAGTAAAAAAAACCCCAATAAACCAAAGTAACAAACAAAAACCCATGACAGAAGCACAAAACGACGTGACAGAAAAAAAAAAACATGACAGTAAGACAACGATCCATCAAAGACTGACACAAACGATGGAACTAAATAGGAGCAAACTGACAAGACAACAAGGAACACCTGGATGAGACAAAGGGTTGATTGGTTAACACAAGGTACCCGGATGGCAAGAACAGGTGGAGAAAAAAAAAAGAGACGCAAGGAAACAAAACCAAACGTAATCTGAACAAAAAACAGAATCACATCAGTGTTGGGATGTTGCTGTGACCCTCAACGAATGTAGTTTCGAGTACAGGGCCACAGAATCAGCTGATTTGTGATTATTCTCGAAGGTAGAGGTCCCCAATCTTTTTTGCACCACAGACTGATCGTAGCAGCCTCACAGCGAGACAAAGATGCACATAAAGGCTGCCACCCAGATGGCGGCCGCACTACACCACTTTATTTGTGCGGTACAAGCCAAGCCGCTGAAATCAACTGAACTGAGAAATAAAGAAAAAAGAAAAAATGAGCTCATTGGAACAAATCGTTTGCTTCAAAAGAAAAATGTTATGTGCTTGGTACGCAAATGTGGAGTGATGGACGAAACTGGTGCGTATTTGACATTTTCAGTGTGTGAGGGCACCTACACACCACTTATGTACACCCCTGATTAAATTCCATGTCTATGACATCGGCAAATATTTATTTATTTATTTTACGTGTAATATAAACATGTTTGATTTATCCTGGGATGTTTTTTCAAGTAGGGGTTGAATGAATTCAAATTTTTTTCGACTCGGCGCAAAGTTGATGATGGTCGAGTCGATTTCGACGAATCAATGACATCACAGTTTCGTGATATTTGATGACTGCTGTCCGAGCCTCTAAATGCACAGACTCATTCATCCATTCACATCCAGATACCATCATGGCCTCATAAGCACAATAAAACTCATAATATATATTCATGTAACACAACTACAGAGTCATAGCTCACTAGAGCAGGGGTGTCAAACTCATTTTTGTTGTGGGCCAGATTTTAGTTACAGTTTCACTTGGAGGGCCGTTATGATTTAAACCATATAAATAAGTCAAGAATAACGGTTGATTCTTCAATTGTTTAAGTTACTGTATTAAGGGGTTTGGTAACAAGAAAATGCTTACTCTTATTACAAATGAGAATTAGAAATTTTGGGAGAGATTTTAGCAAGCATTATGAAAGTTGCCATCCTCAATTTGCTTTCGCGGGCCGCATAAAATTATGTGGCGGGCCAGATCTGGCCCCCGGGCCTTGAGTTTGACACCTGTGCCCTAGAGTATATAAGAGGGGTTTGCAATCTGTGGCTCTCTGGATTTACCGGTACTTTAAATTTATTTAAATCATTCTTAAATGCAATTCTAAATTTGAAGATGATGGCACCTTTGTTTTTGTTGTTGTTGCTCAATATATGCATCACAAGCACCGTGTGCCACCAGGCCTCAACATTTATTGTGTTATTCGACTCTTGAAAAGTCCAAGAAAACTTTCTTTTTCAAAATATTTTGAAGATATAACATGCAGAAAAAATAAAACTATTCTCGGGAACAGCTCATTGAGTTCACAAATGCAAAACTAGTTGTTGTTGTTTTTTTTTTAATACATACAGATAAAAACATTTAAATCATATGTGTAGAGTTATTCTCAATCTAATGTAGATGTAATGTATAAGGGTTTTGTGGCACCCTGTGCTTTTCTTTTTCTGTGGCAGACACAGCATTTAAGGCTGCTGACCCTTACAATTGCATATAACAGATAATAATAAAAATATTATCGGAGGAGAGAATGCTTTGCAAAATTGTATTCTAGCAAATTGTAGTTGTGTTACATGAATTGCTGCAAGAGTTTTATAAAGATCCAAGTAACTGTGAGATCAGCAAGGTATCTGTGATTGGATGAGTGCGTCACGGGCGGGACCAGCAGGACCACGACAGTGAGGCACCGCTGCTAGTTTGTAGCGCAAACCTATCACCTATTAATTTCAGCGAGGTGTCTGTGTTATTGCCAAACAGGTTTGTTTGCCGATTAATCGAGATGTTGACAATTTGGTTCAATCCTTACTTGTTGTTACCATTGTCTTTTTTTGACTGTGTTCAAACTGGAAATGTTTCCTTGACAGAATTACAGTCCTGGACATACAGCCATGAGGACAGTGTGAGTTTTAGCTTGTATGATATCGGCAAGAGCCATGGGAGGGACTTTCAAGTGTCCTTCTTTTTGAGGTCACGAAAGATGGACGGGCTGATCTTTCAGCTGAGAACACCCAAGGAAGAAGTCTACTTTTCCATTTATCTAAATATGGGGAGAATTTTTATCAGCTCTCGGACCAACAGTTCCCCCTTAACAGCTCCCGTATTTTTGACAACGGGAGAGAAGCAATTCCTTCTGGTAGAAGTCCAGCAAAGGCACGTTATCTTTGCGCATGCAAGTCTTCGTTATGGAATAGGGACCATACCTGATGTGAGCATTAAGAGCGGGGATCAGGCTTACTTAGGAGGACTACCGGAAAACTGGGACTCTAATCCTTGGGGGGGGCATTATAAAGGTTGCATCCAGGACTTTCGTTTGGATTCAATGCATCTGGAGGTGGATACATGGAACGATCAAAATGGAGAGGACATCTATTTATCAAGTGAAGCTGAAAATGTCAAGAGAGGCTGCATCAGCGATCAGACTTGCAAGGTGGGAAAGATGTATGTCATGTCCGTTGTTACAGAAGTAACATTTAATTTCTGCTGCATTGGAAAAAAAAATAACAATCACAAATATTTTGATTCCGATTGAAATCACGAGTCATAAAACGATTAAACATTGATTTCATTCATTAATCTGATTTGTATTTTTCTCAACTACTAAAACTAAAACAAAACAACAAATACTGACTTTTCCTGTGCATGTTAGCCTTTTAGGGGCAGCGTGGTGTTGTGTTTCGATTTACACATTTATGAGATAAGATTGTGAGTTGTGATTGAGCTCAACTAATATAACTACTTTTTCACAGATTGTTAAAAATTGTACCTTCGCATTTTGTTTTGTTACCTGTGTGTAAATGTGTTTCCACAGTGTTTGTAAATATTTGTTATTTGAAGGAATATTCCTAAAGTCCATGCTAATTTCCCGTTTGCATGTCAATGGGATATTACATTGACTTTGGCATTAGCGCTAGCAATGTTAACGAAGCATGCTGTTGCATTTAAAAATATAATGTGTGTAATTCTTTTTATTGTGTGATTAGTTTTATGGTAAATGTTTATGTTCAAGTTTTTCTTTTTATCTTGAAAAGGCTGACCACAATCAGAATCCCACGTTATATTGTAGCCAAACGTATAATCCTGGTGTATTAATGGCCTTGTAAATTGCTGTTGTGCAAACAGAAAGTTTTGTTTCCATGACTATCGTTCTTCTATGTACCGTACATACTTACGGCGGAAATCTTCTTTATATAAAGAAGAAACAACAGTAGTCATGGCAACTAACTTTCCACCAAAATTCTACCTTTGGCTTAAATGTGATGCAGGATTCTGATTAAGGTAAGATATTTTAAAAGAGGAAATCAACTCCAACATTTTCTCAACAATAATATTGTCTGTGCGGTCCAATGAGTCTTAAAACAGTACAGTGGTACCTCTACTTACGAACATCTATTCATACTAAATTTTCAAGTTGCGAAACGCCTTAACAGGAAAATATTGCCTCTAGTTAGGAAAGAAATTTCAAGTTATGAAAGGTAAAAATACAGAATGGGGATGCTCATCAGAGCTCCGAGTTTCTTGAATGCAACATACTGATAGCTGCTCTGCCATTGGCTACGAACGAGAATCATCCTGGCATCTCATTGGCTACGAAGGACCTCTACCATATGCGTCTAAGACTGTAGATAGAAAAACAGATAGATATGTGTCTTTGTTAAAAGAACGATTGTTAAACGCCTCCAAAAACAAACGTCCTTGGATCGGTTCGTGACAAAACGCCAGGCAAAAACCACTTCTGAGAGAGAACATGAACTAAAGAGGGCAAAAAACGGTGAGGATGCAGTTAGAAGTTAAATGACTATCATTTTTATTCTTTGTTTTTTACATTATGCACAACTCTCATTTATTGTGCAATAATCTAATTGTAACATGTATTTGTTACATAGTTTGATGCATTTTTCTGCTTTAGAAAAGATTTATGCCTGAATTTTGGGGGGGCTTGGAACGGATTAGGGTATTTCCATGGAAAACGCGTCTCTTCTTACAAAATTTTCTAGTGAAGAAATTTCTTCCAGAACCAATTAATTTCGTAAGTAGAAGTACCACTGTATTCTGAATAATATTGTGTTGAGCAACTGTGATGCAATTTTCAGTTGATAGCGAGTGACAAAATGACTGCCCTCTGAGATGGAAAAAAATGGGTGGATTTTGCTGCTTAATTCATATTCCACAAACACAATATTAATCAGAATACTGTTTTTAGAAGAGCAGAACATATTTGAAATGAGCGAGTCACCACTAGCTGTATCTGTTCACACACCTAAATTATCTATACAGTATCTGTACTCGGGATGGGAGCAGGGGTAACCCTTAGTGGGCGTGGTTTACCCAGGAATGGGTGGGGCTTAAATCTGTACATTATCATATCTGAAACTGACATGGATTGATCATAAAAGGGTTAATAAATATTCTTAATTTTATGAATGAAAATTTGAGGATTTTCTTTCAACACGACTACACATCATGATGAGTTGGACTTATTTCATGCTCATACTCGGCAAAATTGCACTCTCCATAACAGAAACTCGTCTGAAACGAATACCCGGCCGGCTCAGCCTTCAAACATATTGTAAAAAAAACATTTTTGAGTTGACTTCCCCTTTAACATGAAAAAAAAAGGTTGGGATAGGGTCCAGTATGCCTGAGGCTCGGATAATGGATGAATGGATGGATGGATGGAAGATAAAAAGAAATACTTTAACTTGGTGCTTGGAACGTATCAGCTGTGAAAAGTGAGGGAATGCTGTTTGCTAGGTAATGACAACGAATGGGTAAATGTGACAGCTTTACAGCTTCAGAAAACTTCCTCAGTTTAAGAATGTCAATTTGACTCAGATGCTTGTGGAGGCTCTCAGTCGTACAGGAAAGTTCCATCGTAGAAAGGGTTCTGTCAGTCGTCATCTGTACCTGTGGGTAAAAAACAAAAAAACAAAAAAAAACAAAAAGAAACGTCCTTTTTTGCTTTTTTTTTTTTGTTTTTTTTGTTTTTTTGTTTTTTACCCACAGGTACAGATGACGACTGACAGAACCCTTTCTACGATGAATTTGACTCAGATGGAACAAGGCGTTTTTAAAAAGCATTTAAAACCTAACTTTCGTACTTCAAGCATCAACCTTTTGGACAAAATGTTCATTTTCTGTCTCACGTATCCTACATGTGTCACATTAATCAAGTAATCAAGTCTCAAAATTGTTTTTCTCAACAGATGAGTCCTTGTCAAAACGGAGGCGAATGCACATTCTCATTCAATGACTTCACATGTTTGTGTCCGGAGGACTACACAGGCGTTACTTGTGAAACTCGAATATGGTGTGTCAGCGATCCTTGTTTAAATGGTGGCTACTGCGTCAACCTCGTTAATAGATATGAATGTAAGTATCTTTATCTATTGCTTGAGCTATACACAGTGCCATGAAAAAGCATTAGCCTGCCTTCTTGAATTCTAATATTTAATTAATTATCACAGCTAACTCTTTCGGATTATTGAGCCAGTTTTTATTTTGCAAAAAAAGAAACAACCCAAGTACTGTAAATACAAAATGCAGTTTGTAAACCAGGCAAGGCAAGTGTATTTGTATTTCACCATCTGTACACAAGGGGGAGGCACAGTGGGTGACTGGTTAGCACGCTGGCCTCACAGTGCAGAGGTGCAGAGTTCGATACTGGCTCTGGAACTTCCTGTGTGGGGTTTGCATCTTCTCGCTGTCCTTGTGCGGATTTTCTCTGGGTACTCCGGTTTCCAAAAACATGCCTGGCAGGTTAATGGAACACTCTAAATTGTCTCTCGGTGTGAATGGGAGTGCGGATGGTTGTTCATCTATGTGTGCCCTGCGATTGTCTCTCAACCAGTTCAGGGCGTACCCCGCGTACTGCCTGAAGGCAGCTGGGATAGGCTCCAGGGGACCCGCGATCCTGACAGTATTAGGACAGTTTTGACCACTAAGAAACATCAATCATAGCAAACAAAAAACAAATTCTCATAAAAAATTACAATAATAATAATGATAATTGGGCGGCCCGGTGGGTGGGCGGGTATATAGTGCGTCGACCTCACAGTGCAGTGGTACCGGGTTCGATTCCAGTTCCGACCTTCCTGTGTGGAGTTTGCATGTTCCCGTGCTTGCGTGGGTGTTCTCCGGGTACTAGGGTTTCCTCCCACATTTCAAAAACATGCATGACAGGCTAATTGAACACTCTAAATCAGGGGTGCCCAAACTTTTTGGAGCGAAGATCTACTTTTCGATCAACCAACCTCCCGCGATTGACCCGTTACAGTGCACGCGCGCATACGCTCGCACGCACGCACGTACACACCATGCCATGATGAGCAATAGCCTGACGCTGAGGCATGCGATGCACTTAGGCAGCCTGTTAATGATCGTAGCTCACGCGTACTGTTTTAAAATGCTTCTCTTGGCCCTCCAGATTCCCATTCTTTGCCCATCCCCTCG